AAATAGCCAATGCAGCTCTTTATGGCACTAAAGAAGAAATTTCCAAGCAGATCTTTTGGTGGGGGTAAGACAGTATCAAATTGGCCAGCTGCAGACAGTATCCATTTCCCCACCCAAGGTGGTGGTAGCGACAGAAAAGGGGCCATATATGAAAAGCAAACGATCTTCCACCTTCAACATCTGCTTGGAGAGTACTAAAGATGGGTATACTAGTAATAGACATGCGTCACGGATTGTACCCTCGTCTACTTGTTGTTTTCTAGCAAATCTGTAGGTGTCGCTGATGCCTGTCGTTTGGGAGGGACAAGACCAGGGGCGAGCTTGGTCTTTTCGTCGTAAAAGAGGTGTTGCTCCTAGATCCCGAGGACGATAGCATGGAATTTGAAATCAAGTTCCCTAAAAGGAGCCCCCCCCACCCAAAAAAAAGACACCACTTTTCTGTTTAGATGTAGTACTTTTAAATCTAAGATCTGTTGGAGGGGCTTAAAGTTGTACAGTAATAACTATTTGATACATGTATGAAAAACTCAGTCTCCAGATGTTGCTCGTCCACATCACTGAGACCGAATGCATCAACCTTGAACTTGTGACGCCACGCTCAAGTAGACATTTAACAGGTCCTCTAGAAATATGTACGGCGCTTGGAATTCGTAGTTAGGTCCTCCCAAAAAATCCACTCGCTGCATTAGAGATACACTGACCTGTACAAGGGTGCCAGAGTATACAGTGCAATTTTACGGAATACAGTGCAATGGTATACGATTACACTGTATTCCTCAAAATTGCACTGTATACTAATACCATTGTACTGTATTCCGTAAAATTGCACTGTATTCCGTAAAATTGCAATGTATTCCGTAAGATTGCACTGTATTCAATTGAAGGTCAGAAACAAACTAGAGGTCAGAAATAAAATTAAGCCGTGTTATGTTAACGCGGTCAGTCTGATAACGGTATCATCGGCTGTGACAGTTTTGCTTGGTCACATTTTTAGCAGACCGCCTTATGATTCAAACTGATGCCATAAATTGCAAGCAAGCTGCTGTGAAAGGAACAACCGCTGACAATGATCTAATACAACCTTTTTCATCGTAACTTTTATGCGACTCGTGCACGACTATGACAAGAATGCCGTCAAGCTGTAATCGTGCGAGGAACGTCAGACAAATGTGTCCGAGCTTAAGTGGTGTGGCCTGTATTGCTCACAAACCACACAAATCGGAAATATATTAGCTTCGTGTTTGCACAGTGTCAGTACTCTCTACACAGGATTGTGGTATTACAATGTACAGCTGTGGACAGACGTCCAGGTCACGGCTTGTCATGGGCGGGGCATAGTCGTAATTAGCCTGACTACAGCAGAGTGACTGACAGGCAGACATACACACATAACACGTGACTGACAACAACTTGTTCCTCAGACTCTCTGAGTCCACAATCAAGATGGCTAACGCACGAAGCAGCTGTGGATTTCGGACGCTGCTAGTCCTTTCAGCTGTTCACTTATGTTTGCACCATGCAGGTAAGTACTTCAGTCTTTTCTCTAAAATTTGTCTTATTACAGACGAGGGCACACCAAGGGGCCGTAATCAAAAGGAATCGTTTTGTGTTGGCTTGAGATGTGAACTCTAAAGGACCGTGTATAGTGGTTGAAAGATGGTGTCCTCTTTCCTATTATAAGAATCTTTTGTACAAATGGACAAGGAAAGTCATGCGTTGTGGGCTATCATCATATCTGTGCTGCTTACATGTACGCTGAATGCGATTTTAGCCCACTTTCGTACTAGAACGGTTATACAATGTCATGTAAACCCGCTCCCAATGGTCTCATTTGCCCCTTTGGCACAACTTCAATCCTGGCTGCTTTGGGTGACCGAGAGGTCATGCCAGCGCCCGGGAGGGAACGTGAATTTTCTTGTGCGTGCACGGGACGTTTTGAGCTGTTCGGGCGGGCAGAGTTGTCCTTTCCCCCGCCAAACGTACTAACCTGGCCGCTAAGTACGAGCATCTCGACCGACTCTGAGAACACATATTGGATACCTGTCAGATATCAGCATGCATTTGGGGTCCGAGAGACCCGCTCTATATGTGACAAGCCTCCTCACATCTTTTAGATGCGGGGGCCTGCATGCCCTTTTTCGTAAGGCGCCTTTGGGCCTGTTTAGTCTTCGTAATCCATAGGGTCTCCCCCCCCCCCCAAAAAAAATGAACGTAAATTCGTAAACATCAGCCAGAAAGCGTAAAGTCCCCCCCCCCCCGTGCAGACCCTCTTAGATTGTAGCCAGGGCTCTATATAACCCTGTATAACAAGCTGTCAGTACGCTAGATTGCAAGGATGCCATCACGTCTAACTTTTAGTTTAGTTCGTGCCTTTCAAACAACGTCAGGCTTGGACACAGCACCGTAAATTTTCCTGATCGAGGACAACACGATCCGGACGCTCTATACACAGCAACAACACTTCATTTAACTCAAGCGTTCAAACAGACTCTTTGTCATGATGGATCTAAAACCAACATGAAAACATTTCAACCGAGACAGTTTCTACTTGAAATATACCCTGACCCTCAAATTCTAAAAGAATAAAAATAACTAACAATAAAATTGTAACTAAACGTATGTTTGCTTCTGGTGCAATAATTGTTACATTAATGCAAAAGATTTAGAAAATCCATACTATAACTTCGACGGGAAATGTGTTTCAAATACATTTTCATTTCGTTCAATCGGTTTTCCTGCTGAACGCATACCAGAACGTTGACCCCAAGATCCAAAGGTCAGATGTCCTACATATCACCACACTACGACAGCTTTCACCCGGCATTTGCTTGGGCGGTATCTTTACACATCCATTTGTGCATTTAGCAAACGAAGTAAGAAGTACATGTAAGCAATGTTTTTCAACAACAGACTGAAAAAAAGTCTGATAGGTTTTGAAATATTTCAACAGATTTTTCGGTATCGTAAAGGCCACTGAAAGATTTTTTCCATTCCACAACCATTTTGCATTCGTAAAGGTGAACACATATATATCTTTACATGGCATTTAAGCATCACTATACATGTACAATGTATAGATAAAACAAATATAGTTTGACGACATGCATAATGATGAAACTGTACATGTATATACTATATGTACTATATCCACGTTTGAGATTGTGTTCTCGCCGCAAAAGCCATCTACATCGACTACATACAGCAGCGAGAAGCAGAACTCCGAGGAAGGTGTCTGATAGACATCGAAATGTAAGCAAGGTGGGAACAATACCCGTTTGTGTATAAGAAAATCCGAATATCCTATATATATACTTTGTCACATTTTTTCTAATTCTTTAAAGAGTCCGTTGTTGTGTCCACTGTGTCCGGTGACGTGAGAGGGTACGAGTTCCCGACCTCCCCTCTCCTGTCGGATCCTGTCTTCGACCGTCTGTACGTCTTTAAGGGCATTCCCTACGCCGCGCCACCTGTCGGAGACCTCAGGTAAGAAACTTTGTGGAGGTCATTTACACATTTGATTTATTGAAATTGCAGTACACGCGGGACACAGGCAGCTGTTGCTGGTGTTGTGTCCCACACATAGAAACAAGTACAGAACAGACAATACTCATTTTCACACGAGTTCAGTGGGGAAAGCCAATCGTGTACAGTGCTTTTCCCAAGGGCACAATATCGGTGGCATGTCAGGACTCGAACGCGGGACCTCTTGGTTCCGAGTCGAGCACGTTGCCGTTACGCCACACGACCCCACAAAATAGGGATATCTTATACCCTACAATCTACCGATGACAAGGATACATTACTGCGTATTGATATTGTATGCACATCTCAGATGCCATTGTCTTCTTCATGGCTTGGCTTCGTGTCCGAAGATTGTCAGGGGCCCTTCCCTCTCCTGCTGCACGCCCGGTGGTGGCTGACAAGTCCGATTCTTGACAGGCATACTCGGCCACAGTGGCTGCAGGTAAGCGACGGGTCTGGTGTTGGAGCCGTGACGGTGCGGTTCTTTGCCATTGTAACCCCGTTCAAACTGTGCATCCATTCTTCCAGGTTCCGCCCCCCACAGGACCCCCTCCCCTGGACCGGTACCCGAGATGCGACCCGGTTCGGGGACGCCTGTTCTCAGTTCGACGCTTGGGCGGGGTTCCGAAAAAACAGCCGCGCAGTGAACCTGTATCTGGAGTTTTTCAGGATACCGGGCAACAAGAGCGAGGACTGTCTGAATCTGAACGTCTACACAAGTAACGTCTCACCGACTGCGAACTTACCGGTAAGGGCCAGGTGTTGAGCCAAGTCCTTGAGCTGCCACATACGTGAGAGGTTTAGGGCTAGGGTTAGGGTTAGGGGTGGTATTAGAGTTAGCTGGGGTTAGAGTTGGGTTAATTTTTCAGGGCTTAGCGTTAAACCATGGAGGTGGTTAGACTTACGAGTAGGTGAGGTTTGAGTCACCCACTAAAACCCTCTCACGCCTTGTCTCAGGTATATTGGAGTACATTGTCGGAGTCATGTTTTTAGCAGGATCATGTATATGGCTTGACACCGGGCACATACGTCGTGCCATCACATGCTTTCTAACATTAATAACATCTTATGTGTAAATGATGTCAGTTTTATCATTTAAATTCATAATTTAAATGGAGGATTTCATCACTACTTTGTATTTGTTTGTATAAAACCTTTATATGAATCTTCTAGTCCAAGTGCACTGCATTAATAGACTGTATTCTTGAAAAAAAGTATTTAAAAAAATTCAAGATTGACGATCCAAGATGGCGGCTAGATTAGATATGTATGACGTCATTTTATGACGTCATTTTGACGTCGGTGTTGTTGCCATCAGGAATTTGAACATGTATTAGCGGACCTTAATACTATACTACACACACTTTTCGTTATAGTTCTGTGGGTATATGAGTTTTACGGAAATACTAGTACATGTATATTATTTAGACGATTTTAGTCAATAAAATCACATATTAAATGACTTTTACATGATGTAGGTGATGGTTTGGATCCACGGCGGTGGTTACACACTGGGTACAGCCCGTACCTATGGGGGAGAGGTGCTGACGGCGTATCACAGTGTCGTCATCGTCACCATCAACTATCGTCTGGGCCCGCTCGGATTCCTACAGACACTGGAGGACGAGGCACCGGGAAACTTCGCACTTCTAGACCAGGTGCTTTTACCTTTCATGAAAGTTACATGCTGGTGTGTTACGCCGTGGGGCGGTTATACCGGCTATACCTATACAGATATAGAAGGAACGGCCGTGTGTGTGTTTGTGTGTGTGTTTGTGTGTGTGTTTGTGTGTGTGTGTGTGTGTGTGTGTGTGTGTGTGTGCATATGTTTGTGCGTGTGTGTGCATTTGTGTGTGTGTGTGTGTGTGTTTGTGTGCGTATGTTTGTGCGTGTGTGTGCATGTGTGTGTGTGTGTGTGTGTGTGTGTGTGTGTGTGTGTGTGTGTGTGTTTGTGTGTGTGTGTGTGTGTGTGTGTGTGTGTGTACCTGCGTACATAATGTAACCCAACACCACAGGGTGATGCTACAGCACGAGTTGCCATGGTGAGAGACGTCTGTTCCAGGTCATTGACTAGGGGAAGAAGAAGAAGAAACTGAGCAAAAACAACATGTTTTCCTTCTTCGAAGGTAAACACAATGAATTTACAATAACTTTGCTACAGGTCAAGTCGCTACAGTGGGTACAGAACAACATCAGGAACTTCGGAGGGGACCCTGACCGCGTGACCATATTTGGGGAGTCAGCTGGAGGCTTCAGCGTGGCGTTCAACGTCATGTCTCCCCTGGCAACCGGACTGTTCCACCGGGCCATCTCGGAGAGCGGCGCGGGGCTGATGCCGGTTAAGGAGAAGGGCGACATCTCAGGGACACAGACCATCGCCGGTAAACTTGGCTGTGACGTCAATCACTATGGCAACATGATGCGATGCCTTCGAGGGTGTGTGCCTACGTTTCTCTTCATATTTGAGCAATGTTCAATACAACCGAGACGATTAAGAAACACATTTTCCCCGTCTTCTTGCGCTATGTCTTATATTGGATAAGACATGCAATTGGTAATCTGTGTCTTTGTTAGACCCTGTATGCATCTCTTGTCTTGGACCCTAACTTTTTTCTCTCACCTCCTCAATGACATGGCCAGTAGCCCGGTTTGAGCTTTCCATGAATAAAGAAATACTTTAAAAAACAAACAAACAAACAAACAAACAAACAAACACATAATTTGGCATGTCCGTCCATAGCAAAACTGCAGATGAGATCCAGGGAGCAGCAGCTGTAGGCCTGCCGTACTTAGTGATTGACGGCCATTTTCTTCCCGAACATCCCTGGGTAAGTGTACATTTCTTTAATCTGTCTTGGCGATTTGAAGGCAAGTCTTTGATTCGTTGTAAGATTAACAAGTAGCCTTACTGCACTTGGTGACAGCGAGTTCCACTCTGTGAGAGTTCTAGGAAAGAGTGAGTTTTTGAATACCTCAATCCTTGGTTGATAACTCGTCCACCAGTTTATTAATCATTTTGTACATCGTGCATTTTGTACACATTGCAGCACCTGATCCAGAATCACCAGCTGAACCAGGTAGACTACCTTCTCGGCACGAACAATGACGAGTTCGGCTGGCTGCTGTCCCTCACGCTGTCACATGTGGACGCAGACGGGATGAACATGACCGAGTTCCGAACCATCGTGCCTGTGGACCTGGCCGTGATGACGGGCGGCATATATCCAGTAAGGATCATTCTTTGTATATCAGAAAAAGGAACTGAAGACTTCGAATGAGAAGTAGTAGGTATTTAAAGTAAAACTAGAAAAGTAACATTTGCAAAGCAAATGCATGTTGACCTTTGCACAAGGTCTGCTCGTCAATTCTTACTTAGTCTAAATCCCTCCTACTATAAAATTGCAACATTATGTAACCCACCACAAGTTACCATGGTGAGAGACAGTCTGGTTCAGTCAGGTCAAAGGTCACTGTTTGGAGAATAAGAAGAAGAAACGTAGCAAAAACAATATGTTTTCCTTCGGTAAAGATAAGAATGATTTAACTTGACTCCAACAAATAGAAATGCAACTAACCAAATCTTCCACCAGTCCTCTGGTCTTTATCGTAATAACCGAGGGCCAGAATGCACGGGATTCGTCACCACCAGGAAGTATGACGTGACCCCTGTCTCTGTCCCTTATCCCCTCATGCCAAGAAATAGTTAATTTCGACCATTTAGGTGGTGGATTGAGAACCTTATCTTCCGTACTGTTTGTTGTTTTCAGAAAGGAGACGCCAGCACACTGGTACCACGAGTCTTGCAGGAATATCGCGACCCTGACAGACCAGACGATCCCATCGCGATACGGGACCAGTACCTGCAGTTCCTGACAGACATGTGGTTCACGTCCTCTACTGTCATGGTGGCTCAGGCTCAGTCAGGTTGGTATCATAATTCTTGATTTTTATTCTACACTCAGGAAGGGACAAATCTTTACAGAAGCAGAATCCCTGGATATTAGGTGTAACAAGTCGTTCAGTGTAATGTAGCCAGCTACCGCCGCGCCGGTTATACAGATACAGAAGCTGGTGTGTTACGCCGAAGGGCGGTTGTACCGACTATACAGATACAGATACAGACGACCACGGTACATTTGTGTGTTCTTTTTCTACAGAACAACCGGTCAAGGTTTACCAGTACGAGTTCCAGCATCGCACGTTGCTCCTGTCTTTCAAGCCGGATATAACATCTAGGGGTTCTGACTATGTAAATTAGGGTCAGAAAGTAGCACCTACTGACTTCAAAGGTGTTACAATGCATGTACGTTGGTCACGGTATATTGCTGTTTTCTTTCTCCACAGAACAACCAGTCAAGGTTTACCAGTACGAGTTCCAGCATCGCACGTCCCTCCTGTCCTTCAAGCCGGATTTAACATCTAGGGGTTTTGACTATGTAAATTAGGGACAGAAAGTACATTTGTAACACCTACTGACTTTCACAACGGTATTACAATGCATGTACGTTGGTCACGGTATATTGCTGTTTTCTTTCTCCACAGAACAACCAGTCAAGGTTTTCCAGTACGAGTTCCAGCATCGCACGTCCCTCCTGTCCCTCAAGCCTGATTACGTCAGGGCTGACCACGGGGATGACTTGTGGTACGTGTTCGGCAGTCCTCTCCTGCAGAACGTCACTTCCGGAACCTGGCTGTACGCCATGACGGAACAGGAGCGGGAACTGAGTAGGGACTTCATGGCGTACTGGGTCAACTTTGCCACCAATGGGTAGGTGCATAGTCTCCAAGCAGATTCTAGGGCGGCATAAGACAGTATCAAAGTGGCCTTGGGTGGCGTGTAGGACCCTCTCTGGCCAATTTGATACTGTCTTCTGCCACCCACAATGGTCAAATTTGGGCCCCGATCTCCCCACTTGCTGTAGAACGCGAACCATGTTCGATCTGACGTAATTCGAACAGAACGGTGTTCGAAATGGGCCGCTCCAGGCCTCGGCTGGGCTCTGAAGTCACTGATTTCGCACTTATATGCTACAGTCATATTTCTAAACCAACCAGATTCAAGCATTCGCCACCAAAAGAATGCTTTATTTCTTTGTTTCTCTTCTTTAGAGACCCAAATGACTCTACAGGGTCAGCACGCATGCGTCCTTTGACACGCTGGCCCCGCTACACGCCTTCCTCCCAAGCCTACCTGAAACTCGACGTGACGTCATCTGCTGACGTAGCACTCAGGAGGTCCCGGATGAAGTTCTGGAATGAAGAGGTGCCGAGGCTGATGGGAATGACGTCATCAGAGCCAACCAGCAACGCAGCAAAACTTCACATAAGCAGTATTGTAGTGATATTGTCTTTGGTTTATGCTCTATCAGCATTCTTGTGAGACAGCACATATAAAATTGCTTGAGTAACAAAATTATATCCAGCTGCTTGAGTAACTGTTCTTCCACTAAAGCACCACCTAGCAGCAGTTTGATGTAGAACCAGACAGTATTGCCCTGAGGAAGGCAGCAGAAGCGCTACTAAAACGATGGCGGATTGTCATAATGGTTGTGTGTATAACTTTATTAACCACAGGCTTCAGAAGGGTTCAAATGAATTGTTTATAAAACGTCTAACACTAAGTGTACCTAATTAATTTGTTGCGTTCAAAATGTGACAATTCCAATTGCAATGAGTAAGCCATGTTTCTCTAACAACATTTATGTATTTTGGTTTACAAGTGACAAAATTTATTTCGTCGTTTTGTCGTCCACTGAATCGAATAGACATCCCAAAGTTCAGTGGTTGAGGGTATTTTCATTGGAGAACATCATCTGACAATACATACACCTCCTGTATTATTGTAGGCCTGGCATCTCCCATAGGTGTTGACTCCATGCAGCTGTACGTCAGGTAACAATTCCTCTATTACTACTGTCGCATCCTGGAATGGTAGAATGTTGATACTTATCTGTCTGTAACGTGTGAAGGAAACGTTCATTATTATCATCATGCTTATATACAAGTACTTTGTCATGAAATGAAATACTCTCTGTGGATCTTCGTGCGTGTTTAATTAATTCAACTGCTATGGTATACAACGGGTCGAATCCCCCCTAAACATGTTTTTTAACGGTGTCGCTCAATGCAAGGCCAATTATTTTTGGCCACTTCTAGGCATAGAGCTAGAGGTATAGAACTGTAACAGCAACCCTTCTCCCTGAGTCAGAAATGTTTGGCATATCAATGAATTGTAGAACTGAATATTTTTCCAGGGAAGGCGTGGAACAACAACTCCGTCTTGCCAAGACATCGGCTTCTTTAAGTAATGAGTTCACATTGAAAAGCTAATATGGTGTTAGAGAAGTGTTGTCTAACCTTCAATACTTCTACCTCTGCAGTAGTTAGCCAGCAGTCCCCGTTTAGATCGAGCCTTCTAAAGATACTGTCTGTGATGACGCTCTCTTCCTCGTACAGTACCAGTGACTGGACCATGTTCTTTGGTAGCTTCCCTCCGTACTCTCCCAACAGAGTCGTCAGGACAAACCTGGGTTAAGGGTGGAAGTGGCTCAAATCAATTGATAAGTCAATCAATCTGTCTATCTATAAATCAAGCAATCAATTTTTCTATCAAATCTATCTATCAGTGTATCAATCAATCCATCAATCAATATATGTATCAATCAATCTGTCAATCTATTTATCAATCAATCAATCAATCAATCTGTCTATTAATCAATCAATCAATCTATCAATATATCTATCTATCGATCTATCAATATCTATATTTGCCTATATCTATCGAGGAGGCAAAAAGATAGATAGATAGATAGATAGATAGACAGACAGACAGACAGATAGATAGATAGATAGATTGAATATTTTTTTTATTTTCCTGTTGTAACTCGATTTAAACATGAACGTGAATGGCTCATGCCTTTGCCCTTAAACGTTGTCCAGGAATTTGCCCCATTACCTAATCTGTTCCCCTGGCCGTACGTCCAGCGTGTTGAGATGCACAGGTGACCGGTAGTCCCTCCCGCTGCAGTCCGAGCGGTTGAAGGCAGACAGCGGTGTCCACCAGAAGTTGACCGCCATGTTCCTGCCGTGTGACCGGACCTGGTGGTAACGGGAGCAAGATATTATCTCTCTATCTATCTATCTCTCTATCTCTCTCTATCTCTCTATCTCTCTATCTATCTATCTCTACCTATCTCTCTATCTATCTCTCTATCTATCCATATCTCTCTCTCTCTCTCTCTCTCTCTATATATATATATATATATATATATATATATATATATATATATATATATATACCCAAGCTTTATGCATGTATGCATGCCATTGCAATTGTATACGTGCAGACATTACCACGTCTCCAAACCCTTGTATACCCTATGTATTATAAGCCATTCATCCTATATATCTCTGATGTCGCACACAAACACAAACACACACACACACATACATCCTACCTATCTCTAATAGACCCTGACCCCGTGCACTCTCATTCATCCTACGGCCCCATGCACTCTCACACACCCTGTGAAAATATATGGGAAAATACCATGCTCCCGTTAATACCCACCTGGTGGTACCAACCCTGCGGTAAATAGAGGCAGTCGCCAGGGGGCACGCGTGCCGACCACCACGGGATGGTGCTGAGAGCAGGGTACCGGAACATGTCCACACTAGCGAGATTAAAAGAATGTAGTACCGCAGTTATATACATCTAAAACAGTCAAAGAGGCCAAGAGCTCTCTACCTTAGAAAAATTATGACCTTAGCATGTCCAGAACACGAGATAGGAAAGCCGGAAGGCATGCCCCTTGGAATGTCATGTTTGCAACACTTGAGAACATATCAGAAATCACAAAGATCCCTCCACAACTTCTCGAGTTATGCTGTTCAAACACACACACACGCACACACACTCACTCACACACACACACACACACACACACGCACACACACACACACACACACACACACACACACACACACACACACACACATTGCCTTTTTTTTGGGAACGAAAGTTCAAAATGCAAAATAGACAAAAACAAAACGCTACCGTTCAACGTCAACTGCAATCTCTTCCCCATCGTCGTGATGTAATCCCCATTTCTCCGCCATGTCTTTACCCAGGATGAACCAGTCTTTAGTGCCACTCAGAACGCAGTTGAGGTTGTCCATGTTGTCCATGTGTAAAGTAGAGGCTGTCCCACCACTGGACAACCACAGCTTCATGTCCTGCAACCGTTGGGCGAAACCACCGCAAGCTAGACTCTGGGGGAGGTACACTTCCTTCATCATAGCCTAGGACCCAGAGAGAAGAAAATTATGTAATGTTAATTATCTTCATGCCAATTTCATTCTATGTTTCATACTGAATACATGAAACTTTAGTAGATAGCCTCTGCCAATAGTGATGATGACATCTTACATCCACATAGGGTGACCTGGACATTTTGTTTCACTTGACACTGTAAGAATTTTGGACACTGAACAAGACTATTTCCTGAGAGGGGTGAAAGAGGCTATATACATCAGGGCCCATCACCCTTCACTTAACCGCGACGGGGGCCGACATCGTCTACCAGATACCTTTGACCCAGTGTTGACATCACATTTCAAAGAAGCCACGTGACAAGCCTCACTGGGTCAGTCTACTGAGGAAGACCAGTGACTGGTAGAAAGCTCTAGGTGAGAGAACTTTTGTGTTGGATCAAAAGTTTTAACTTTAAACATGTACAACTACCAACAGAGATGAACTTTCATGATAGTAATGCCATCTTACCTTTGGAATGCTGTCAACCATGTAGAGATCAGATTGTTTATAGCGCTGTAAGAAGTCGAAAAGTCTCATCTCTTCATTGTAGCTGTCCGTCTCCTCTTTCTTTGCGAAATCAACATGCAGCTGGAAATAATGGAGTGAAATATGAACATGACTTATAAACTGTTTTAGGATGTTAGCAGTCCAACCCGAAGTAAAAAAAAATACCCGACAGGGCATCGATTTGGAAATGCTTGTCTCCACCAGACTCTCCACCATAGAGGGTCAAGTTTGCCTTTTGATCGTAGCGACTTCTCACAGACTTCGTGCAGGCAAACTGGACCCTCTATAGCCGGCCATATCCCCTGGCCAGCTAGATTCTTTTAAGGCCGATTTCTACTATTTATTCAGCCTGCAAAGCAGTCAAGTGGAGACTAAGAAGGACCCACCTTTCTCCATCCATATTGAACAGTAAGGTACCAGTCATTCCATCTTTTGTAGGCGGGAAAAAGTCGCGCAGCCCCCGAAAGAATTACTGGTCTTCTCGGGGCCACGTAACGGTGGTAGAACTCCTCTGGCGATGGGATGGCGTCCACGGATTCCACCTAGTTCGCGACAAAATGCGTTTTATGAATTTTTATTTACTTTTGTTTATTCACATATATTTATTGAGTACTAGGCAAGAAGCACATGTTGCTAATATAACACCTTAGTTCTAGGAAAGAATGAATTCGTAAACACCTCAATCCATGGTTGATAACTCTGGTACTTGAAGGCATGTCTATTTCTTGTTCTCTTCTGGGCTGGTGTAATCCCAAGTGCTTGTGAGAGTCAACTTCTTTCAGCTGAACACCCCTAAACACTAATGGCGGGTGATGGACTTTGATCTTTTTCATAGAAAATGCCATTAGTTCAGTTTTAAGAGGATTGAAAGTTACCAACCACTGTCTGGCTATCAGGAAACAATTAAAATTCTATATCACTAGACACTGACACTAGATACATATCAGAAGAAAAGACCGGTTGTCAGAAAACGTAACGTTACGATCTTCGACTCTAACATCTGCTTGGAGACAAATTAGAAGTACTAACCTGTCCTGTCGGAGGCTGATGCGATCCAAGTGGTTGTAAATGTCCTGGCGGGTCCCTCAACCCGGAAGTCAGAACAGCACCCAACAATACGACGATAGGAGTCACGAACAGCGTACATTTGCTGCGTACCACAGGGAGGGCATACATGTTTTCTTTTGTCTCCTTTTAGGTTTAAAACAAAAGCTGGCTTTGGTGGTGAAATTGTGCATATAATCTGACACAATGAGTTGAATCTCCGTGCTGAATCGGCGGCTGGAATTGGCTGTTGGAATCGGCTGCCAGCTTCAGGTTGGACGAACGATTGAATCCTTGGTAGCACAGACGGTTAGAAACTAGGGGAACGAGACAGAAATTGCTCTCGACGAGGTGGATTGTACGTGTTAACTCGCAGTTAGTTGGATCCCCTGGCTTTCTGAGTAGCGCGTTACGCACAAGTTGCAAGGCGTGCCCGGATGTTTGTAGACCGGTATTACCGGTACCGTGACGACGTGCCACACCAAGGTTTGCCCTGGCACAAAGTTTAACTTTAAGATTTTAAAACCAATTCTACATTTAGCGCCATGTAGGTGGCCAAATTGGTCTGTTTAATATCTCACTATCATTGCTAAATGGCCTAATTATTTTGTCTACACATATACAACAGTCTACACGAACAACATACAGTAAGATTTTTCGACCCTATTTTGGCGACCTTCGTACCTGTGTCATTCTCTGAACTTTGACACTTGGGCTGTACTGATCAGCGTTTTTGATGGTATGACATGATAATATATGATAAAATGTAACATGGTATGATAGAACTTGGCAATTCAAATATATCTTCGCCTCCCCGTTGTTTTCGCAAATGTATATCATATCTATATAGTATAACACCAATATACAACACCAAAGACCAAAACTCGTTAGACTTACCATTTTGTTTGGTTTCTGCATATTCGCATTGTCTATGGCATGGTTTTAATCATTACTTTCGGAAGAGGCTAACGTGATAGGGATTACCTAGAAGCAGCACTTCTGCACTGATAGGATAATTCCTGCACCATCGTGCGATGTCTGTATGAACTGCAGCTAAAAACTGATGGCGAAGAGGAGACAAGTGGTGAACAGGTGCAAAAGAGGGCTTGAAACGAGGTCAACGACACATGGATGTGATCGGGCTTGGAGCCATTGTACCGCATATCTGATCTGGCAATGTGTTAAGTAGTATAAAACAGGCAGGGGAGATAATTCTTTTAATCAAGAATGCCGTACCTCATCAGTTTAGCTCACACAGACTATGTACAAACTCCGAATAGGGTAAAATTTGGTTTAATATTCAGCTGTAGTTGTCGTGTGAAACGTAACGTTATCTTTTGCACAAGGTGTGTGGTTTTCTTCACCTGTGTTAAGTATGGCCGACATATACAAAGTGTACGTTTACCTGGGAGGGGGGGCAGAAACAAAGAAAGAAATAGTCAAGTTCATTCGTGACACTTTAAAAATGGCTAGAACGAATTTTAAGTTAAGGTTATGGACTTCTGAAAGTACTTTTCGATCCTTTTCTGCTGGCTCGTTGCTACCCTTACCCGTCCTAAAAGTCTTATTATAGATATGAAAGACCCTGAATATGGGACATCCTTGGTAAGAGCTATTCTATGGTCATGTGGACAAAAATAGAACGCAGGACCTGGGTGTGCGACGTTTCGTCACACAGAAATGTCGTCTGACGTAGCCGCCATGTTTTAGAACCGCGTCACGGCATAACATCCGGGCACTGAGCAGAAAAAAAAGTCAAGGAACACTCAACACAATTTTTTCTGACGATTTGTAAGCGAGAGGGTTTGAAATTTGCGGTTGTGACGTGGAAATATTAATATTGTGACAGCCCCCCTCCCCCTTTCGTCAGCTGTTTGTTCAGGCTCGTCAAAGGCGGGAAAGCTGACAGGGACTGTTGTTCGCGATCTGTCGTCAGATTCCCGCTCATTCCAACCAATTGTTTCCTCAAGAAGTGATGTTTAACCTTTTGAACAAAGGACTAGCAGCTGTGTACAGCGGCGGTCCACCTACTAAGGTACGTGCAAGGCCAATTTTTTAATTGTTTTACCATCTATAGTGTTGTGGAGTTCGGCCATGTTGGTTCAGACGACATTTTGAATCAGCTAGGGTTCGGCTTGACTCCCGCGTGGTTTCCATGCGGTCATGATATATCGAGCAGATAAGTTTACCGCACGAGTATCTCTTGGATTAGCGGAACAGACCAGGCGCAATGCCACTCAACGGTAAGGTTTTAAGAGCTTTTTTTCTACGCACACACTTCTGTACAAAAAGATTTTCTCATCTTTTTCATGTATGACTCGTATGTGTGCCAATACCGGCCGTACCCTGCGGGAAATTTAGAACATTAGAACATGTTCGAATTCCATGACTAAAACGTAATGGCGAGCGCTTGTAAATTAACTCCTAGTATCAAGCCTATCTCAAAAGTGTGATTACGATAAGAGTGCAAAGATATTCCTTGTCATTCTTGGCTGTTCAAGAGACATATGGTGAAAATATGAGGGATTTCGTTTCTAGATTAGATAGCTCCAGTGATGTATTTTAAAAATAGATATCTCCTATCCCGTGTGGGCCGCCATGACACCAAAAATGGCTGGCACGCCTGTCTGTAAAGCCATGGGTGGGGAAATCTGGCCGGATTTTCACTAACAAAGCATTCCTATCTGCTTTAACTTAACGTAGATATCCAGCTGATCCTTCGAAAATACTAGATATAGCGTTACATAACCTCTGATATCGTCATCAAAGTTAGCATAGATTGTCCAATGATGTTATAGCGAGGAAGAGTACAAACTCGCGCCCAACACTGTCTCAACTAGATTTTTCTTTAACTCTTTCAGTCTTTGCTATCTTAGTGACGGAAATACACAATTCGCTTTTACGTACCCTCAACCACATTAAAAAAATGATGATCTGAGAGTTAGTAGAATATTCAGCCGGGAGGATGACGAAGGCATTTCCTCCTTATCAGTAGTGGTTTGTATTATCGGTCAATCGGTTGTCCCAGTTTACTCCAGGCAACTTGTTTTTCCCACATTGCTGAACACACACCCCAGGGAAAGCGTCGTTACTAGCATACTTTCCAAACAGCTAGCTTTGTTGCAGTTTGTTACACTTATGCGCCCCCCTCCCCCTGGAACATAAGCCATACTACTCTGCCAAATATGGATCTCACTATCAGTGGATCATGTTGTTCACTGGGTCAGGAAAATGAATGGAAAAATTGTAACACTTGACGTTGTCAGATAATTGATGTTGATTTTTTTTGCGTCAATCAGAATTAATTAAGAGATAATTATACGTTGTTTTGGGAATTGAGAATACGGAGAGTGTAGATAACGACACCCGTATTGCGTTGACTTGACGTCATTCGTAAGTGAGGGAATTGTAGTTGTACTTATAAACACAGTGCGCTAGTAACTTTGTACGTACTTGCATCCCATGGTAACGTTTTTTGACGTAGGACATCCCACTATTATTACTAAACATGATAAGTGCAGTGAGGGTGACTTTCAAAAATACATGCCCCCCTCCCCCTCACGACGGCCTGAGTCATATTCTTTCTACTCTACTTTCCAAATTCATAACAGTACAAAAATAAATGGTGAATCTTCTACCACACCCTTAAACCGTCATATATAAAAGGGTTCGGATAAACATGTCAGAGTCAGTTTGGTTAAAACCCTAAGTTGGTATTGCTGAACAGTTGTTTGTAAGAGGATGCCGAATACTGGTGTATTGGGATCCACAGCCGTTCCTAACACAAGACGGAACGACAAGGTACAGATTTGATTACTTAAGAATAGATTAAAGCTTTGTTGGTCAACACTTGTCTGTACAGCAACCAATCTGGAAACTGATATTCCATATAAGATACTAGTATTGTGTATTTTGTATGTGTGTATATGTATTATGTATGAATGCATTTAGAGAAGAAATTTCAAAATCGACAAAAACTTTGTCAAACTGTCGAGAATAAAGAAATACTAGTACAAATCTTTATCCAATTCTGTAAACGAATTATTCAGCGTGTTATCCGCCTCAACAGTTTATTCAGTATTTGATTAAGGACGACAGCTGCCTCTAGGTAAAACGTCAGGCCAAACCATCCCTCGCAAAATTCGTTAGTACTCAAAGTTGTCCTTTCAGTGTAAGAAACGTTTGTCCTTCAAGGCAGATACACCTACCCATGGCATCATCATATACTGGTACAATTTGAGTTTGTTAATATGGCTGTCTTGAGAGTTGCTGACTGACGGACACGCCGTTGAATTTTCCATTACAAAATTTTAGTTAAGAGTGTGTGTGGTGGGGGGCGATTGATATGGTTGACTCGAAAATGCTGACTAACAGACACGCCAATGAATTTTCCATTACAAAACAGATCTAGATCATATTCTACATTGAGTCATACACTATAACAAACAGTAGTTTATTTGCTGAAATTAGATCCATTCCTAATCTTTAACTGACTGAATATACACTTTTTGGACTCTCTGGTAATTATTCTAACTACAGAATTTCCGTCGTATCTCATAAACCAAGCCTATATTTCACAAACTTAATCTTGACATTGACCTCAGATAGCACTTTAGGGTAGCCTAGTATCTGAGACAAACACTACCATAAATAACAACAATTATAACTTCTTTGGAAAGACGACTTTTGTGCTAAAGAAATCAACATGTCAAAGTACACGTTCTTAATTAGATGGGTTTAGACGAGAAAAATAATAATTATACAATTACAGATTGCTCTTTGTTCTCGAAAGTTGTTGAGTCAGCGTTTGTTTCCAAAACTAACCAATCAGTGCAAACTTGATACCCCACTTTCCAACCAAAACAATGAACGAATCATTCACTGTTGCCGAACAAATTCAAAACTAGCCTCGCGATAGTCTAAGAGTTTACTAATATGTTGAACAGGATCTGGGAATCATCCTATTACAGAGATTTGTCTTGGGACTAAGTGAATGGTGACGTTGAACGTGAACTTCCCATTCTGTGACCTCGGAGCCAATGTCGGGACATGCTGGGTGAAGACCTTGCCTTTACTTTAGGGACATCAAACCCAAATATAGCAGCCGACGCCACAGGCGCGAGGCGGGAATGTTAGATTGACAGGCAACAGTTGTCATCTGTTCTGGCTAATAACCGCTTTTGCATAACGCCCAGACGCGAGGGTAAAGCTGCATGGTGTTAGCGGAAATTCCCCCAAGCGCAGACTGGGTTTCGTTTTGAATTATCAAAAACACAGTAGGTAAACTGAAATCTCTATTCTCATACATCGAATTTTCTTGAGATTGTGTTTTGTTGCTGATGATATGCATGTAATTTATTACTCGTAACAAATGGGTAGGGTACTAGTATATACATGTGGCGGTTTCACTAGCCTCTAGGCCTATAAAATTACACTAAATTCAGGAAGGAATCGCGTCTAGCTTTACGTAACCTTGACATAAAACTTTCCTTGGAAATTATGATAATAATAATAAATCAAACAAGCTTGCTACATACATGTAAACTACAAGTTATGAGTCGGGTTATCTATTTCTTCATTTTTTTGGCTTTGTGACTATTTAGGAGGAGCCAGATTATGTACATTAATTGATGTACAGTTCTTGAAGACTTTGATAACGCTTCAACAGTGAAATCTGTAAACTAACGAGGTTTTGTTGTTGGCAGGACGGTGATCGTGCCGACATGCCCCCCGTGAGTAGCCGGTCCACAGGAGACGCCATGAAGCCAGCCACGGCAGCAGGGGAGCTGCCGAAAGTACAGGTACATATATCTATAACATACATGTAATAGTTATATGTATATGTATTTGTATATGTATATGTATAATGTGACCTGTGCTTAGCCCAGTGGGGCAAAAATGTACAATAAATCCATCCATTCATATTGTAGTAAAATTCATTGCACAACAATTGTACATTATATAGAAAAGGGCTTTCTGTATAAATTCCTTGGTGCAAAGTACAAAATATGGCACTATTGGTACATGACTAAAGGTTCCATAAGGCTAATGTACCTAATACAGGAGTGTGTAATATGGGATGAAATTGATCATCGAAATCACGGACCATCCACACCCATATTTAAGACATTCCGAAACATGAAACAACATAACACGAGCATAAAATTTGCCACTTTTCCACCAATGGCTTTTCAATCAATCACTCACTCACTCACTCACTCACTCACTCACTCACTCACTCACTCACTCACTCACATTCTCACACACTCACACACTCAAGACACACAGACACTCATTCTCTCACACACATTCTCTCACTCACATTCACTCATTCTCTCACTCGTTCACGCACTCAATCACACACACATACTCATTCTCTCGCTCACTCACTCACTCATTCATCCATCTGTCCATCCATCCATCCATTCATTAACAGGTTGCGGTTGACGTTGCACAGAAAAAGGAAGACCCGGATGTAGGGTTGGTGGGGTTGCTGAGAGCGCAGGCGCAGGAGACAGGAGCATCTGCGTCAGCGGAAACACAGGTGAGTCAGGCACTGCGCATGCGCTAAACCTGTAATGTATCGTACTTCGACAGAGCGTCTTGTTTAAGGTCGTATTCGAGGTCGTATTTGAGGATGACATTAGGTCTATAGTTTTCAAATGTTGTGTCGGAAAAGATATCGACTGCAACGGGAAAAATTCCGACACAACGTTGACCAAACATCCAACGTGTATCTTCGTGTTGATATTGCATTGTGGGAGATGCTGCAGAACATTGTTTTTGAGATTTTGATATGAATTTTTCCCAGACCTTTCAACTTCTTTGTAGTCGAAAATGGTGCATGTTAAATTGGCAATTCAATATATACTTATATACATGTTATACAAAGTAGTACAATACATGTTATGTTAACATTAGGGAGAGAGACCCGCCGCAGTTGTGGAACCACACAGGCCGAACATTCACTCCAGCTTACCCAAGAGATTACCGGAGAGAATTCTGGTAAGTATATGGCATATCTCACCATGTACGTGTGATGTTTGAAAACTGTGTAAGAAGTGACATGTGTTTCTTACCAATGTTGTCAAAGTATCCGTGCAAGTACATGTAGAATAGAATAAGAAATCAGTATCGGTATAGCCGGTGTAATCGCCATTCGCGGCGTAACACTCCCGCTAAATCGCTTACAATTTTTGCTGAAATCTACTTTCCATAACCCCTTAGGAGGGTCCTGCTGCGTATACATGAAGTAGTGTAATGTCACGACTCTATGCTCTTTGTTGAAAAGATTTCACGCACTAAATAAGGATTCTATGTGCACAGAGGGGAGTACAGTAAGTTGGTAAAATGCCTCCGCATCTGAGGCGTCGCCAAAAAAACGGAAACGAAATCTGTGCTCTCTGTTGCAGTATGGAGACCTGTGTAACGCGGCGCTGATCGGGAACCACGATGTGGTGGAGAAACTGCTGAAGGAGGGGGAGGACGTGAACGAGAGGGACAAGGTGAGAACACTGCCCTGGGAAAGAGACTCTGGTCCCATTGCCACATCTGCCACAGTAGTACATGTAGTAACGATTCGTGTTCTAGTAAGAATTCACCATTGTTGTAACAATATGGATTGTAAAAATGACCAACCTGATGTTAACAGCCCTTTGCGAAGCCAACTAATTCTAGCCTCAGATTCCAGCAGCCGATTCGGCTACAATTAAAGGAAACTTTCGGCTAGCACTGACCTGTGGTAATGTGTGATGATGTAACCGAATTTTCCACTTATGTATCTTCCAGGACGGTGAAATAGCCTTGCACATTGCCGCACAAGAAGGACATTCCTCCATTGTGGACCTCCTCTTGGAGGCTGGGGCACAGGTGGAGGCTAAGAATAAGGTACGAGGCTAATGAGTGTGCAAATAGATACACATTATAAGTGAGGTCGTATATGTATAAGGCTGGCGATGGAAACGAATAAGAGCACCTGGAGACAAGATCATAATGCAGTGATGGTAAATCAGACGAATAAGTGTCTTTGCACACAGCAAATACCAATTACCTGTTAAAGATTTCAATAGTTCCTGTGCTGCAATACTGACTGGTTCTACTTGAACTGCTATATATCGCTGCAGAGGTGGAAGCATGCACTCCTAAACTTGACTAAGCTTGTATTGGCTGTGTAAAAATAACTTAATTCAACACTCGGTGGTTTAGCAACTTAATGAAACTAGCACTATTGAAGGATGATAGATTGCTAAAATATCTTATTTGTCTACTTTCCAGTGCATTCCAAAGCTCTGAAAGAGACTGATATTGTCTCATTTTTTCAGGACGGGGACACCCCGCTTCACAACGCCTCACGAGAAGGGTACGTGGACATAGTGGAGAAGCTGGTCAGCGCCGGGGCTGATGTGGAGAGTAAGAACCAGGTAGGGTCACATGAAGTTGAGAATTTTTTTTCGACTTAACACTATCTTTAGTATTACTCAATACAATATAAAACCGAAGTCTTTCAAACCGAACTTTTTGCACCAACAGCACGAAGCAAGAAAAAACCTGACAGATAGTGATATTCTTTGAGAAATATCTAGATGAAGAGGTATCCACCATACCCACTTTCCATTTCAAGTTATATATGTCTGTTGGATTCTGTAAAAAATTGAATGGAACTCAGTTGGAACATGTAATAGATTTGTGTACACCCGTCAACTGTCAACTGTAGAGTAGACCCTTCAGTCCACTTGTCTGCAGGGTTCGTACAAACTGTAACGTCATTTCCGTATAAAGATAAAAAATCATATGAGAAACTTTGTGGCATATTAGCTATCCTTCGTTAACAGCAGTTTTTCCGGGGATTCAAAGGCGCACAATTCTCAAATTCTAAGACATACATGTAAAAAGTCTAAGATACTTACAAGAAATGTACGAACCCTGGAAGCGTTTCTTACTCCATCTTTTGCACCACGCATTCCACAGAAAGGAGACACATCCCTCCATCTAGCCGCCGAGAGAGGGCACTTCGGCGTGGTACAGAAGCTGGTGGACAGAGGCACAGACTTCACCATCAAAAACTTCGTGAGCACCCTTGTCCTATCATCATTTCCATCATTAATCTGACATCTATCCACTAATTCATCGGTTTTTTTAAGAGCTATGCTTTGCATTAGGGCTGTTTCAGACCTAGACAAACAGAGGAATTAGCGAAATATTGGATGCTTCGAATAGCTTTCAACGTATGAACTCAGAATGAAATACTGTTTGAGTTATGATGCTAGAATTTCTTCTGCTTACCGTTATATGTGCCTTTTAATGCCTTTCTTATCCGATGTTCTCGTGTATATCTGCTGCTATATGAAATGCAACTAATTTTGTGTGAAAAATAATGAGACAAAGTATTTCTCTATTGGCTTTTCTGGCGGTAACAATATATAACAGTTCTGCTTCCATAATTCATATCAGACTGCATTACCATCCCCGATAAATGTAACTCTCGCGAGAAGATGCACGAGATGTCAACTGAATTGCAGTCTCTGTGCACACGTGGATGTTCTCTGATAGGCAAACTCTGGGATCGTCTGTACATCAATTTATTTGAATTGACCAAGTACGAAAGGAATAGCAAGTCCTTCTCGTTACGACGTACAGCAAAAATGTAGAGACAAAAGAAAGTGATGATGACATTTATAAAGCATTGCATTGGAAGTTTATAATCCAACCGTCCACAATTTTGTAATTAACCATGATTATTACACTTTACAGAATGGCATCACAGTGCTTCACGCAGCCGCAGACGGCGGACATACCAACATCGTGGATACTCTTATCAACGCAGGGATAGACGTCAACTACAAAGATGTGGTGAGTTAGCCTCTACCAGGCTTAGGCCTCGGTCACAACCCGCCGTACGTGCTTTTTGTCCGTACGTTTCTTGGGAGGCTATGTCTGCTACGTTTTTTTCTGAAAACGTGGGGAAGGAGTGGCGTCGCCGCACGTCACTCGCACGTCACTCGCACGGTTGCGCAAGGTGTAAGAGTGTGGTCTGTACTCCCCACGCACGGATGCCCTAGGTTTTCCCACGTTTTTGAACGTAGACAGCACGCAGAAGAACGTACGGCGGGTTGTGACCAAGGCTTTAAACAGTCTGCTAGCGGACCAACCCCCCTGGCATGTTATCTGTCTATTTTGTCAATTTTTACTCTTTCCAGCTTCCTCCCGAAGCCTGGTAGATGCTAGTGGTGAGTGAGAACTGATACCATGTTAGCCTGAAATCCGGCCGGCTTACGGCCCTAGTTGGGTAGCAGCTGAGCAAATACAACTGGCTTCCGGGCTAAATACGCAAATTGCTTACACCATCATCAACGTCTTCAACTGCCAGCCAAGGTTTACAAAATATTACTTACAATGCCTTATTAATAAATAGATAAAATTATATTATACTGCTCTGAAGAATATTATGCAGAAAATGATTTCATCAGGTTGGTAGAAAATACGATATTGGAATTATCTTATGCACAACCAGGGATTGTCTTCCCTTGATTACTGAATATTATTACTAAGAGTGCAAAGAAGAAGAAATGTAATATTTCATGTATGAAGCAGAAAGAAGACTATATGGTTATATGGTTATAAGACAAATGGTTAATATTATTTCTATATTCCCATGTTCTTCCAGAATGGCGAGTCGTCATTACACAAGGCCGCCATGAACGGTCACGTGGGCTGTGTGGACAGACTGATGAGAGCAGGGGCAGACATGGCGGCCAAAAATGACGTAAGCACATTTTAATAAACCTAGTCTTTCTAAATAGCGCTCCTAGCGGCCCGCCAGACTCGAGAGAGCTAAGTAGACCCTGCAGCAAGATACTAACCCAGGATGATATTACGACTTGATATTGATGACTTTTGAAACGCCTGCATTGCGTTGAAAGACGCAAGTAGAGGGTGATGCTGATTATCATCAATTTGCATGTAAGAACATTCATTCCAACTCCTTTCAACAACTGGCTGCGATCGCTGAGTTACCAAGCATTTAAAAAATTGATCCGAAAAGAATTCCGTACATCATAACATCGAATGTTTTTTCATGTTTTGTGTGTTTATTACCTCCTAAGACATATCTAAACATCGTGGTGCATCTCATAAAATTAAGGATCACACATGTCTAATGTTGGTCATTCAACGGTCTCTTAGCTTAGCGATGGACGTCTAGTGGCTTAACAAATTGTGTGTGTGTGTACAGAGATTTTGTAACATAAGTTGTTATATGTAATTTCTATCTTTTCAGAATGGCCACACCGTCATACACTGCGCAGCGATAGGTGGTCACGTGGGAATCGTCGACATGCTCATCAAGAATAATTACGACATAGAAGTCTTGGACGAGGTGAGAAACTTGCAAAATCTACTACATTGTCAAGATGGAATTGTTAAGAGAAGTAGATATAGATGCAGCAGTAAGCTTTAGTACGTGAAAATCTAACATGATCAGTGGGAAAGAAAGAAATAAAGCTTGGGCCTCTACTGAAGTGACAGATCAAGTGGTGGGAGGGCCGCTTGGGTTACAGTGACGACCAATCATATCACTGTATGAAAACGAGTCCTGATGGGCTCCCCTTAGCGGAGGTACCGGTGTTCTTACAAGCAGGAGTCAACTCCACCCCACCCCCTTTTCTAACCTAGTCCACAGACCGACAGATAAGGGCAACCAACCCAGCCTAAACCAGGGCAAAATGAGATATTTAAGGATTGGTCAATTTCAGAAAACTCGAGTTAGGGTGCCCTGCAGTAGGGAGGCACAGAAAAGTATAACTGGAGGAGTGGTCCGATCTCTGTCATTCTTTTAGAAGGACAAATACATGTTAAGTCGAAACCGGTCGAATTCTGTCTCAGCGCTGACATTATGCCAAAGCTACGAATGATGTCCCCCTATAACTTCAAATGTCATTGCCCTATAGGACGGTGACCTGGCGCTCCACAAAGCTTCATCAGAAGGGCATGTGGAGGTGGTAGACCGACTGGTGAAGGCAGGGGCTGATGTCAACGCCAAGAACAACGTAAGATATCAAACCTTTACTTCACAGTATATGAAATTACCCAAGCGTATCCTACACCGCGCTGGGGGCGTATAGTACAATTTACATGCACTTTCTTTCATTTATTCGTATGAGCTGGTATAGCCTTTTGTCTATGAACTTGAGATGATAATCTTCGGTTACAAATATCCTTCTACCATTGACACTAGTTGCAGGTCTACCTAGGCTTGGAGAAGAAAGGAAATGCGTGATATATATATATTAAAAAAATCTTTTTCCACAGAAGAGTATTTTGAAGAAAAAAGGAAATTTATTCCAGTAATCAATCCAATGTCTGTCAATTCGGAATGACCATTATATACCTTGAGCTCAAATGGGTTTAGAGACAAAGCTTTACTGTATAACAGTTAATCATTTGGATTTGGAGATGAGATATTCCGTACATGTGATTTGTTAACCATGTCTTGCCCCTCCCCCTGCAGTACGAGTACACACCGCTGTATAACGCGGCGCTGTCCGGGAACTTCCACGTGGTGGAATATCTGATCGCTCATGGATCTAACGTTAACGAGAAGGACGGGGTGAGTTATTCGGTTCTAAAAAAATAATAATAAAAAATAATTGTGTCTTTGTGTTCCAGTTTGGGTGAAAAAGCCCTAGAAACGCTTCAAATACTATAACTTCAGTAGAAGTAGTAGTAGTACACTATAACTTCAGTAGTAGCAGTAACAGTAGTAGTAGTAGTAGTAGTAGTAGCAATACTAGTAGTAGTAGTAGGAGGAGGCGGAGGCACCCTTCCGTCTTATAAGATGATGGTCGCACTCAAGATTTGGTGTTATGACTGTACATGTGTACAGCGCCTTGTAATTGTGTAATGCTAACTTTGCAATACATATATAACAAATAATTGTAATACGGGCGATACGTATTGATGGTTTTATTGCAGAACGGAAACACTGCCCTGCACGAGGCCGTGTCCAGACAACACGCGGCCGTGGCCAAGAAGCTGATTGCCGTCGGAGCTGACATCACGGAGAAAGACGTGGTAAGATTAATAGGACTTTTTCTCTTAGAAAAATATTGCCTCTTATGAATACATCAGTGTGAAGAAAAACATATATGAGATAGCTTTAACACAGAAACTCCCGTTGGCCATGGCATTGTTCTAATGACATAGTTTTTCCTACATTGTCTAATACATGTAATGCTCATTTGTTACAGTACGGAAGCAGCATGCTTTTTAATGCTGCTATCTGGGGAAATGTTGACGTGGTTGACAGTCTGATCAAGACGGGTGCTGACGTCAATACGAAGAATAAGGTAAGTTTTAACATTCAAAAACCAAAATATAGTGATTTTTTATTTTATTAACATGGAAATTTAGGCCCAGAACAAAATTCTAACGCTGTGGTATATTTGTCATTGTGTTTGCCTTTTAACATGTCGCAACTCTTACAACTGACGCATTTCCTGAAACAGGGAGACAGCACTGCACTTCATGAGGCAGCCGCTAGGGGTTACGTGCCCGTTGTGGATCGTCTTCTCGGGGCAGGAGCCGATGTTAACGCAAAAGACAAGGTAAAGTATTACGATTTTCAAAACTTTACAATTCGTATTTCTCTTATGATCTTAGCACCACGAATTACCATTATGTCTCCTTCAAGTGAGATGAGAAAATACAGCTTATTTACATTTCATGATAGGGTATTCGATCTTAAGATTAATGTAGTAACTAACCGAATATTTATCTTGTGTTTAACAGTACAACCACAGTGTCCTTCATAAGGCCTCGTTCGGCGGCCATGCAGATCTCGTCAGCACACTGATCAGGACAGGAGCCAATCCAAACGCACAAAACAACGTGAGTCGGCTGCTAGCCGCACACACCTTTGTTACGCCGTCTTTCATTGCACGGTTTTCGTCATCGATCCTATATATTTTTCTCAATTTCTTTCTCCATAGATACCTACTACTATCAGAGCTCATATCCTGCAACTTGAAAACAAGTTGGAGAATCTAGATCACTGTTTTTGTAGCAATATGGCCTCTCTTGACATTGATCAAATTCACAACCTTCATGAGTTGTGGCCTGTGTGCGGGCTATAGAACAGGAAGTAGACTAGTGAAACGGAGATAGTCACTGCCCTTATACACCGAAACGGTGTGGGAAATACACTGTACAACAATCCAATTTTTATGCACACCTTAAAACATAGGTAAAGGTTCAGTTTCTTCCCTCGTGCGCACCTTTACGCATACCTAAAAATGTTCTTGCATAAAGATAGATAGAATAGGATTTCGTACAGCAATACGAAGGATTTGAGCTTTTTTAATCAATCTTTGTCTTGCGGTTTCTTAACGTTTTGTTTCGGTGCTACATACAGGATGGAGATACGCCTCTTCACATTGGCTCCTGTATGGGTCACGTGGGTGTGGTGAGGAGCCTCATCCAGGGTGGAGCTGATCCCAACGTGGTCAACGAGGTGAGGCGATATGTTATAAACGTAAACCGTACTAAAATCTAGTGTAAAAGTCAAGTAGCTACTAGTATTTGGCAGCTTGTTTCTACCATTTATCTCAATGTATGAGTATGTGCAGGAGCGTACAAGACAAGGCTGTGGACAACAGTAGCGCATTTCTGACATGCCAGAGTCATCATTACTATGATGTTGGACATCAAAGAGAGGAGTAAGAAGAAGCAATACTAGCCTGTGCCTTGTAGCATGACTGGTGTCCTCCTAACTCCTGGGCCCAGATTAGGCCCAAATCTATGTAATTTTGGCGACACCTCAAGAGGGGCGGAGGCATTTTTTTAGATAGAATCAAATAGATCTTTAGTGTATACGATCAAATTGTTCGGCGGTTTTGACAGTTGCACATCTTATGTTGATTATTCCTATATTCCTATGGCTGCTATAGGCAGGTTTGACAAGAAGAAACATTTTTGTTTTGATTGCAGTACGGCGGAATTCCAGCAGACGACGCAGAGGACGAAGAAATCCGCGCCCTTCTCATGTCCATGATGTCAGAACCAGAGACAGAGTAGGGTTAAAGGTCAACCACGAGAACGCCATCTTGAAAATCCGTGAATATTCTCATAGACATACAAATACTAAGGTTATCACAAGTTGATTTAGCATCTTAAGCTTACGTATCCGGTGGGACAGTCGCGGTGCTGTATGGAAACTATTGTAACATTTTAAATACGAACTGATAAAGGCAGAGTGTTGTATGTTGTCACAATACCTCATTATCGTATATAAACCACCACTCAAAATACCATGGGCAATGAGGGGAAAATGGTCATGACATTGTTAATAGTAACATTTTGTACCTTTTGTTGGAGACATAATTACTTGTTACACAGTTTGTTGGTTATAAAATGAATGATTTCTTGTAGAGTTGGTCCACATTAAACGTAAGCATCAACATGTATTCATTGAGCAGCACAATTTTCTTGAAGGCTCTACTTTGTGAAATATAACTTAGCTAGCACGATATACAGGGATCTATAATGGACTTTGGAAACGGTTCACAATTATGCAACGTATACTACAATAAAACTACTATAATTACTATTATCTATTACTTCAAATCTTTTCAAGACGGTTGGTGCTAGAATCATGATTGCCATTTATTATAATAATTGTTTATTGAATTACATCTTCGTCATATTGTTAACAATAGTATCATATCGTTCGAACAACTTGTTTTGAACCATTGTAGCAATGTTACATTTAATTTGGCTGTTGACATGGACAGCGTTTACTAGGGGGCGCAACGGTACTTAACTAGATTGCATAACGGAGGCCCTTCTGACTACAGTATTATTTACAGTTACGTGGAAGACCAGTGACTTTCTATTGCATAGATCAACTGAAGCTGCTTTTATGGATGCAGTTTTCTGTACTTGATGAAATAAAACAGATGATTACAAACATTAGTGTGAATAGTATGTTTTTATTGATCTTACGTAAGGACCTGATAAGATATTTATGGCAAAAATCGTTACACTTTCTCAGACTAGTGAGGGTTTGTCGAAGAAAGAAAAAAAGTGCAAGCGCACGCGTATTGAACTGCCTGGGGAAATTTTCTATAAACAAAACAGAATTCATAGATTAGGGTACGTTGGGAAAATTTCAAACTGCAATCTTTCGTCCCAAGATGAGAGTTAGTACTTTTGTTATAAAATCCACACATTGTAGATGAATGGAACTTTCATATCAAGATCGTCCCAGAGCTCTTAAATGCAACGTTAAACCACCTTTCCATAACACTATAGATTTTACATCACTCTGAATGGATTCAAACCCCATGAAATTTAAGTCTACTCTCCAGTTACGTAGGCTCTTTTGCTCTTCACAGCTGCCGCCCGTATATATTCAGCATGGCAGAGAAAGCCCACATATATCCACAGCGGAAGCCAGGCATTATTTACCTTCCAAGTCATGGGATCTTTCGTTGCTCGTTGAACAAACAGCAATCAATTACAGCTATTGAAGAAACGTCACAGGAGCAAACAGTTCAACATATCAAACCGTAGATGTAGTTATAGGCCTGGGGTGATCATGTAATGTCTCTGGTAGACCCCATACACATACCGTTTATAGTAACTAGTAACTAATGGTGACCACCGTTATATAGTAACTAATAAGCCAAGAGGCTATCTTCACATCCTAGGATGTGACCGTTATTAGTAACTCAGTTCCTTACTAAGGAAGTTAACGGCCGGACAGTGTTGCACACGCAGTTATATGGGTAATCAGGAGTATTTTCATGGCGAGGTCACCTGGTAGATGACCTCGTGTAATGGCCGCCATTTTTTATCTGACTCGGACAGTTTTTACTAGTATTCAGGATGAAAATAAACACCAAGGCTGCTGCCACGAGATGTTTTAATACTGTTAACGGAGTATTATTATAGCTTAGTTAAAGTACATGTACTTTCATGAGACCATCGACTGATGCGAAACAACGACGGGCAGATTGCCTTTCGACGTTGTGGATGGATGTTTGTTTGACACGATCCTCCTTCGTCTTTTCGCCAACAAATCACGTCCAACGTTGATAAGGCATGTTATATAGGTAGGTATTTCTTGCCTGTTTTCACTGTACATATCGCCGTAGTTTTGAACATCTCAATATTCTTTTATTTCTAAGCAGATTCTGTGGGGTAAAAGCGAGTCAATATTCCATATATTGTCGGGCCATATCCACTGACTAATCTCCAAGCAGATGTTTGGGGGAGGGGGGCTAGACAGTATCAAATTGGCCAGTCTGGGGAAATGGTTACAGACTGGCCAATTTAATACTTGGAGATTATCCATTGACCTCCTGCTTGGCTGGCCCATTATGCGATGGTTTAAACTAAGACACTTACAGGAGACCAATGAATAAATATTATGTAGGCATCCAGCCATCGCATACTAGCTAGTATTGCCCCATTTTCCCCACAGAATCTACTTGCAGGTTAAAGATTATTTTGTTTTCCACTTGGAGATTAAAAATTATTTTGTTGAGCTGATTTCGAGTTTGACGTTATTTATAATTGCCGTACAAAATTATATCAGATTTGGCATAATTTGATGGTTTAGATTAGAATGTGAGAGTGGCAATATGTTGACCTGTTAGCAAAGATAATGTCGGATGTTGTTATAGTTAACATTAATATCAATACCACAAAAGAAAGATCAGTTATCCAGATGATGACACTAATTACATGTAACAAGTTACATGCTACATATCCTAAATCATACATGCATTCATTACCATATCTCTAGTAACAATATCAGTTTGAAAGTAACTTCAGTTTATCCAATCTATCGTGCTTGGGGCAGGCTGTCTTCGGGGCTCTAATAGTTTTCCCCCTGTCCAGCTCAACAGACCACCCGGTATATTTGAATGATATGCCGCACACCAGGAGTTGATTCGCCCCTCCACAATCGAGCTTCAGCAGCCCTGAAGAAAACCCGCCCAGCCACCTGGATACCAGGTTAGTGTGAAAGACTTTGTTGGTACTAGTTCTGTGGAATCATGCGGACCAGACCGGGTAGCAGATTCCGACTACCCTAGCTAGTTGTGCTTGTCAAATATGGTATCGGTATAGCAGCGGGATAACCGCCCTTCGGTGTGTGCACGCTAGCTAATTATAACTCAGCTTCTTCTGTCCAATTGCTAATTGCCAAAAAAAAAAGAAAGTTAAGCTGAGGCATTATTGAACTTCAGCCACCAAATTCCATCCACATTTTCAGAAAAAAAAGAAAATTGCAGAACCCAGTCGAAAAACATGACTTGTTTGTCTTCCACCGACTTCAAAAAGAACTCAAACATAACTACATGTTGTATTATAAGATTCATACCCCATTCATATACCTAATGCTAAAGCTTTGTACTAGTATGTGTACTAGTAACCGGTTGAAGTCAGTAAGGGGAATAAGCTGGTCAAAACCCCATGCTCTGTACACTTGGGACGACCTCAGCTCCCCTATTCTATCTACTGAGAAGAACGTCGCCTGGCCAATATGTAAACCTTTACTGCAGATTTTCTTGCAGCACATTGTTTCTGATATAATTACACACCTTTATGATCTTGGTCAAGCAAGAAGACAACTGCCCTGTAGTATACCTGTTGACTTAGCAGCTGGATTTCCTAGACCTAGTCTTTCATCCCATTCTCCTTGAATATAGCCTTGAGTTTCCCAATGTATGAATCCACCCCCCACCACACAATCTCCACCACACACACACATACTACTGTACACACACGTGCGCGCACACACACACACACACACACATGTACACACATACTATTGTAATGTACACACACACATACTACTGTACATACACACACACACACACACACACACACACTTGTGTACATATATACACACACACTACTGTACAGACACACACTACTGCACACACACACACACACACACATTAGTATTTATACTGCTGTACACACACACACACATACTACTGTACATACGAACACACACACATACTACTGTACACACACATACATACTACTGTACATACACACACACATATACTACTGTACAGACACACACACACACACACATACACACACACACATACACACACACACACACATACTACTGTACACACAAACACACACACACATACTACTGTACATACAAACACACACACATACTACTATACACACACACACACACACACACACACATACTACTGTACACACACACACATACTACTGTACATACACACACACATATACTACTGTACAGACACACACTACTGCACACACACACACACTCATACACACATATATACAGGGTACAGACAGGTCATATTATTTGGATTACATTCAGTCATGTCTAGAGTGCTAATGGAATATAAATACGTACTTAAGTGTATATAAACTAGATCAACATTTAAGACAGCATAGTATACGTATGAATCTGCTGCATAACTAAATCACCAGCTTAAAATTAAGTATAGAAATCCAGTACAGACCTTCTCTAGTCTGCTACAGAGCAACATTGTAGCAAGGTTTGTCGGCAAATGTAAGATTTTTCTCACAAATTGCTGAAATTGTGGGTGTACTGGGTAATGTTTTGCTTATTTAACAGTCAACCCTGATTTTGACTGTAGTGGTATCTGCCAAAGGTTTTATTTGTTGCATATCTAGGAAGATCATGCTGATAAATTGCTGCACTTAAATTTCCTTACTCCTATACAGAGAGGGGGGAGTAAATGAAGGCTACTGTTACACATTTACAATCACATAAGTGTTTGTAAAATCTTCACCACCACGGGTCATGGAAAAGCATCAGATTCAGACATACTTTTGTAACTGTTCTTCAATTTGCTTATTCTAATGTGCTGATTGATGTAAACATAATTCATGGACCATCAAGTGATCATTAGTTACTAGGTTTTTTGATCACTATATATCATCTCCTTGCATGACAGAATTATTACATGTGCATGATATTATTATTACTCTGTTTTTGTAGTTTTATTTGTAGAAACTGAAACTCGTTATTAGCCCCACTGTCTGAAATCTTTGATTTTCATATTCAAAACATTGTCTGCATGTAAGTCATTGAAGTAGGCAAGTAAAAAAATACAATGAAACAGGCCTAGCCTATATATCTTAGTTTTCTTACAATAGTACTTGTACCATAGGAGCAACAGAGTCAACATACTAGACTAGTTTGTATAATACCAGCCAGGGTCACTGTAAGCCAGGAAGTTTTTTTGTTTGTTTTTTTTTTGCACAAGAATTGACAGTACTGGTATCTTAAGTAATTATGTTTGTTCAGGTTGATTTTGATGCCAGGTTTATGTTTAACTCTAAGTACAAGAAGCTTAAAGCTGGTGCATGATTTGACATTCTTCCCTCTTCCTGTCACAGGTGCCAGACGTCAACATACAGCTGAACTGTGGATACCAGAAAGCAGACCACACTGGGCCACCTCAAAGTCCTGGCTAGCTACATGTAGGAACTGAGCTTTGAGAAAACAATGGCAATGAAAATTTGTGGACACAAATGCAATTTATAATACTGTCACAGGTGTGAATTATTGTCTTATGACTACTGTATGTGATCACATATTATTTCCCAAGAACTACTGATACTTGTAACCTTAAGCCAGCATTTTCATTGTCAGTTTTTGTATGAATATGAGCAGATTAAGAAGTTCTTCAGTAATTCATACATATGTGTTGAGCGTGCCTTCTCATAGTTATTGTTATTATATTCAATTATAGAAACATGTTTCGTTCCACCGAGATAGATAACATAACTACAAAAATTATATAACATTCTGAATTAAGATGAACTAATGTTTATTCCATCCATAATTGATAACGGTAGCTATTTGTGCAAACTTCTCTGATTGAAAAGTGCCTCAGGTTCATGAGTTTTCTCGGAGAACACTACATTCCCTACTGCATGCATGTTTTGTGGACTCAATGTGTGGCTTGTGCCACAGGAAGTTGCCCTTCTGTACGTCACTGACCCCTACGCTGTGAAAAAAATCTGGTGAGAACCCTGTATTCTACTTGGTCTCCATTAAACATATGGAAAAACCATATGAAACAATAGGATTGAGGAGAATGGTGAACATTGTAACAATGCTTTGAACATGCATGTACTTATACCAATGAGGGAAATTTTACTGCATTACAATGTGTACATGAAGGATTTCAAAGCTTGAATTGAAAAATCACTTTGCAGTTTATTCCCCTAATGTGAAAAAAATTGATTGAAAATCACTTGTAGCCCAGGTGCTGAGTGGTCATTGTGTGAATTATGTTGGTATCAGATTAACCATTCAGTGAAGAAGTTCCTAATCTTGTTTGTGATTGTTTAGGAATGGCCAAATTGCAGGAACAAAGTTGAGCTACTTTAGAATCAGTCAAGTCAGGTTTAAGTCAAAGTAGTTTGTAGTATTTGTTCAGTCTTATGACTCCAGTACATGATGATGACCCTGTGGATTATTGATATGTGTAGCATTACGAGAAAACACTGGTTTCACTGTCATGTGTGTCAATAAAATCACACAAATCTTGCTTTTCAGATGTTGTGTTGTGTATTTTCCTAGTTATAATATGATATAAAATGAGAAACGTTGTATATGAACACAAAAGATCATTTCATGAATTACAGATGAACTAGAGTTTATTCACAATAGATAATAGTAGTTATTTGTACAAGTTTCCCTGAGGCAAAAGAGGGTCTGTTACACTGACTGAACAAGGTACCTTTCCATAAAGTCTCTTATCATTGGTTCACGCCTATCAGCATTCATTTTAGTGCAAATTTATCATCTCTGAAAGTCAACAAAATAACAGGGTATTATCCTGTACACCCAAAAGTCTTACGAACTCGTGTAACACTTAAATAACGGTAAGCGTAGTCAATATAGGCAACTGAGGGGTTGATGAGCTATAATGATTTCACAAATTACACGTTTGTCTTTTCTCACCGAAATATGACGTAGATCTGTGATATTCCATGATTTTAGCATATCGATTCAGTTATACATGTACATGTACATGTTCATGTGTAATCATTAATAGATATATCATCCAAATTCAGAACGAATAATCCAATTAAATGCTTGGCGAGATAAAGAGTATCACCTAATAGTATATGCTCTGTGCGACCTTGAGCGTTCACGCGAGATGGCGTCCAAAATACAGACGATTACGATAATTTGCACCGCATGTAAGCGTTTTTCTTTCTTAAACGAATATCTCATGTCGTATGTAATTTTATAGATTTATACAAGGCAAGGCTAATATACTTATCTAGCTGTCCAGTTAATAGATAGGCTTTTCTTTTATATTCCTTGTGAAGATACAAGGTATACACGGCATGCGAAGTTGTTAGAGAAGTACGATTTAATCTCTAGATGGTTAAATGATAGTAACTCCACAATGAATTATTGTTTCGATATGAGAATTTGGCTATCGGCTATCAAATTATTTACAAATCAGTCCCCAGAATTTGAAAGAAATCCGGGGAGTTCTAAGCGCGCTATGACCGCCGAGATGTTGCGGTTTCCTTGTGACAGGAAGACGTCCTCCCAACATTACAATTCTAGGACCGCGTCGCACCACCCTGGTCGCACAGAAGTGCGCTTTCATTCATAAAACGAGTAGGGTCTTGTATATCGGGACAGAACTGTCACAATACCAGACTGATGAGCTGATCTAGCTGTGCTGTCAATAAAACTGCTAATGATGCCTTGTGAAAATACAACTTTCAATTGAGATGACATGTGAACTGTGATATATGAAGTAGTTATGGAAGTTAATCTCCAAAAGCTTTAAAGATAGTTAACTCAAAAATAGATTTTGATATCGGCATGGGATTTTGGGCATGGGGTGGGAACGCATTTGAAAATTAGTCACTCAAATTTGAAAGAAATGCGTTGAAGTCTTAGCGAAATATAACTCCCAGACCTCTTGGCAAGGAGGCGTCGTCCCAACATTGCGTTCCTCATAGACGATTTTAGGATCGCATCTCACAGAAGTGCGTTTCCCTTCATAAATTGATAAGGATTTTGTATATCCGGTTTAAACTTGCACAATACCAGGCTGATATACTGACCTGGCTGTGGTATTAATAAATTTGCTCTTCCTTCATCTTTTGTGAGAATATAGACCATTCACCTGTCTCTAGTTCTAGGGGCGCGAAGTAGTAAAACGCGTTCCTACCAAGAATTCTTTAGAGCCAAATAGATCACGTTACAATCAACACAGGTACACCATATTTTAGACACGGATAGCCTACGATACTATATAACTTTGAACAAAGTAACTTTGACCGTAACCCAAACCGTTCGCTAGTAATTAGACGAAAACCCGTTACAACTCCCCCATGCGATTTTGGTTCAAAGTGCAGCAAATAAATATTGGGGGAATTCAGGACAATTCCGCAACAAAATTGAGTGATAATCACGTAAGACACCCATTATTGGCTAATCTTACCATTCCCTCACAATTCCATCTTTTATTTTAGTTGTTACACATTAAAGATAAATCTAGATATCCTGGCGAGATGCAGAGGAACTGCAGCAAAATAATATTTTTTTTCAAGAGATTGCTCAGGGGGGGG